AAAGTGTCTTTTGGGCACAGTGGCTCAAGCCTGTAATCCTAGCACTTTGGGAGGCTGAGGCAGGTGGATCACCTGAGGTCAGGAGTTCAAGACCAGCCAGGTCAACATGGTTAAACCCCCATCTCTGTTAAAAATACAAAAAAATTGGCCAGGCATAGTGGCTCACACCTGTAATCCCAGCACTTTGGGAGGTCGAGGTGGGGAGATCGCCTGAAGTCAGGAGTTCGAGACCACAGGCCAACATGATGACCACTGGTCAACATGGCAAAACCCCATCTCTAATAAAAATATAAAAATTAGCTGGGCATAGTGGTGGGCCCCTGTAATCCCAGCTACTCTGGAGGCTGCGGCAGGAGAATCACTTGAACCTCGGAGGCAGAGGTTGCAGTGAGCCGAGATCATGCCATTGCACTCCAGCCTGGGCGACAGAGTGAAACTCCGTCTTAAAAAAAAAAAAAAAAAAGTTAGCTGGGCTTGGTTGTGGGTGCCTGTAGTTCCAGCTATTTGGGAGGCTGAGGCAAGAGAATTGCTTGAACCCAGGAGGCAAAGGCTGCAGTAAGCCGAGATTGTACCATTGCATCTGAGCTTGGGCAGCAGAGTGAAACTCTGTCTCAGGAAAAAAAAAAAGCCAGGCGCAGTGGCTCACACTTGTAATCCCAGCACTGTGGGAGGCCCAGGCTGGTGGATCATGAGGTCAGGAGATTGAGACCATCCTGGCCAACATGGTGAAACCCCGTCACTACTAAAAATACAAAAATTAAGGCTGGGCGCAGTGGCTCATACCTTTAATCCCAGCACTTTGGGAGGCCGAGGCGGCAGGATCACTTGAGGTCGGGAGTTCAAGACCACCCTGACCAACATGCAGAAACCCCATCTCTACTAAAAATACAAAATTACCCAGGTGTGGTGGCGCATGCCTGTAATCCCAGCTACTCGGGAGGCTGAGAGAATCCTTTGAACCTGGGAGGTGGAGGTTGCAGTGAGCTGAGATCGTGCCATTGCATTCCAGCCTGGGCAACAAGAGTAAAACTCTGTCTCAAAAAAAAAAAAAAAATTGGCCTGTAGTTCCTAGTTCCAGCTACTCTGGAGGCTGAGGCAGGAGAATTGCTTGAACTCGGGAGGCAGAGGCTGCAGTGAGCCGTGATTGCGCCACTGTACTCCAGGCTGGCAAGAGCGAGACGAGACTCCGTGTAAAAAAAAAAGAAGTGTCCTTGAAGCACAAAATTTGTAACTATGATGAAGTCCAATTTGATTTTTTCTTTCTTTGCTTGTGTTGTGTTGTATTAAGAACCCAGTCCCTCATCCAAAGTCATGAAAATTTATGCCTATGTTTTTTTTTGAGACAAGCGTCTCACTCTGTCACCCAGGCTGGAGTGCAATGGTGTGATCACAGCTCACTGCAGCCTCAATCTCCCTGGGCTCAGGTGATCCTCCCACCTCAGCCTCCCGAGTAGCTGGGATTACAGTTGTGTGCCACCATGCCTGGCTAATTTTTGTGTTTATTTGTAGAGATAGGGTTTTGCCATGTTGCCCAGGCTGGCCACATACTCCTCGGCTCAAGGAATCCACCCACCTTCGAAAGTGCTAGGATTACAGACGTGAGCCACCATGCCCAGCCCTATTCCTGTTTTTCTCCTAATTTTATAGTTTGAGGTCTTATATTTAGACCTTTAATCTACTTAATTTTTATGTGTAATGTGAAGAGACCTTCATGTTTTGATGTATAGTTTTAATTTCCTTTCCAATCTGCATGTCTTCTATTTCTTCTTTCCTAATTTCCCTGACTAGGACTTCCTGTACCATGTTGAATAGAAGTGGCAGAAGGGAGGATCCTTGTTTTCATCTCTGGCATTTTGTCTTTCACTATCAAGTCTATTAGCTTTATAGTTTTGTTAGATGCCTTTTATCAGGTTAAGGAAGTTCCTTTTTCTAGTTTCTTGGGTTTATTTAAAGAAAAGATTCAGAAAGAAACCTTAAATGCTGTGGTAGACTGGGCGCGGTGGGACACGCCTGTAATCCCAACATTTTGGGAGGCTGAGGCGGGCGGATCACCTGAGGTTGGGAGTTTGAGACCAGCCTGACCAACATGGAGAAACCCCATCTCTACTAAAAATACGAAAATTAGGCCGGGCGCGGTGGCTCAAGCCTGTAATCCCAGCACTTTGGGAGGCCGAGATGGGCGGATCACGAGGTCAGGAGATCGAGACCATCCTGGCGAACACGGTGAAACCCCGTCTCTACTAAAAAAATACAAAAAAACTAGCCGGGCGAGGTGGCGGGCGCCTGAAGTCTCAGCTACTTGGGAGGCTGAGGCAGGAGAATGGCGTAAACCCAGGAGGCGGAGCTTGCAGTGAGCTGAGATCCGGCCACTGCACTCCAGCCTGGGCGACAGAGCCAGACTCCATCTCAAAAAAAAAAAAAAAAAAAAAAAATACGAAAATTAGCTGGGCATGGTGGCACATGTCTGTAATCCCAGCCACTGGGGAGGCTGAGCCCAGGAGGCAGAGGTTGAGGTGAGCCGAGATCATGCCATTGCACTCCCGCCTGGGTATCAAGAGCGAGACTCCAAAAAAAAAAAAAAAAAAAAAGGCTCTGGTAGTTACAGAGCTCAAATATTGTATGTAATCGACAAATTCCAACTTATATATGAAAGCAGAATCTATTATTATCATTATTTTTTTCTGAGACGGGTCTTACTCTGTCGCCCAGGCTGGACTGCAGTGGTGCGATCTTGGCTTACTGCAACCTCCATCTCCCAGGGTGAAGCAATTCTACTGCCTCAGTCTCCCGAGTAGCTGGGATTACAGGCACGTGCCACCACACCTGGCTAATTTTTGTATTTTTAGTAGAGACAGGGTTTCACCACGTTGGCCAGGCTGGTCTTGAACTCCTGGCCTCAGGTAATCCATCCACCTCAGCCTCCCAAAGTGCTGGGATTACAGGCATGAGTCATCGACCATGCCCAGCCTATTATTTTTTAAGACAGGGTCTTGCTGTATTGCCTAGGCTAGTCCTGAACTCCTGGGCTCAAGCGATCCTCCCACCTTTGCCTTCCAAAGTGCTTAGATTGCAGGCATAAGCCACCGTGCCTGGCCCAGCATCTATAAATATATAAAGGTGAATTCTCACCTGTGCCTTAAAAACACCTGGAGGGGGGATTACTACCTCACACATACAGACACATACATACGCAAAAACTTGATATTTATTTCTCCTATGGTGCTAAAACCAAAGATTTTGCCTAACTCTCCTTTTTAAGAACCACATTGTCCAGCTTCTTTTGATATGCATGGTCATAAGAATATGTTTTGACCCTTTATATAAGGGGCAATAATGAGTATAGCTTGCTGTATTGGTTCCTAAACGAAAGGGATATATCTGTCCCCATTGCTTGTTTTTATTCAGTAGTAATACTACATATAAAGGATGAAGGGCCTAGAACAGTACTGGATAACTTTAGTTAGCTGAGTTACAGCCTGGGTCTAGAAGACCTTTGGAGAAACATACTGCTTCTGCTAATGCTAGTTTTTGGATTGCCAGGTCAACTTAAAATGTAACTGTTTATGTTAAAGAATCTATTAGCCTAGCCTTCTCTAATTTGGAAGTCTGATTTAGGTAATTCCCCCAAATGAGAGATGACAGTACTATCTCCAAGAGCACTTTCCAGGTAACCTTTGTTTACCATGAGCCAAAGTTTGAAGCGGCTATTGCAAGAATGGCCAACTCACCAAAGATAAAAGCCAGAATTCGGTAGGCACTGATAAATGGTCACAGAAAATCTTTACCCAATTTTAAATTACAAAGAACAGAACTGACAGTTTTATAACTGATGTTTTAAATTTGTCATTTATTTTAGAGACTACCTATTATACTTAAGACATTGTGTTAGATCTTTGCCAAAGACATGATTTAGTCATATTAATGTAACTCATTTTTTAAATTTTCCATATTAATTCAATTTTTAATTCATTTTTCTTTATGCTTGCTTCAGGGGCTACATCTGGGACTGAATAGCAGCATATGGGCCAAGGGTTGTGGTTTTGCCACTCATGCTCTATACTCTAGTCTCTTCCAGAGTTGAGTATAGCAGTCACTATCTTTTATTTTTTTGAGACAGAGTCTCGCTCTGTCTCCCAGGCTGGAGTGCAGTGGCACGATCTCGGCTCACTGCAAGCTCCGCTTCCGGGTTCATGCCATTCTCCTGCCTCAGCTTGGGTCAGTAGCTGGGACCACAGGCGCCCACCACCACGCCCAGCTAATTTTTTGTATTTTCAGTGGAGACAGGGTTTCACCGTGTTAGCCAGGATGGTCTCAATCTCCTGACCTTGTGATCCACCCGCCTCGGCCTCCCAAAGTGCTGGGATTACAGGTGTGAGCCACCACGCCCGGCCAGCAGTCACTATCTTAATACAATGTGTCACTATTTTATTACCTGCTGAGAAACAGATTAACTTCCTTTATTTAATACTGATAAACAGAAAGCCTTTTTCAAGAAAAAAAAAAAAAAGATAGCTTACATTTACAAAAGTGATTTATGCTAATATCTGCCATTAACAAAGACAAATACTGAAATCCACACAAAATCAGAATTAACTTCTACAACTAAAAAAAAAAATTATAGGGTAATAAAACTAGGAAAAGCTGTATATAAAAAGAAAAAAAAGACAAGTCCCTATGCAGCTAATTACAAGATAATATTGTAAATACATTCAAAAAATTTTCCAAATATTCTGCAACCTCATCTAGAAACTGATACATGTTGAGATTCTTGATCTATACCAAACTATAATGTTAAAGGAAATCATGAAAACTGAGGTATATATTTGATGCATTAGAAACTATCATTTGAACACTATTTAAATAGCTTAATAAGGTCCAATTTCAAGTTGAAGTCTGTAAATGGAGATTAGTTTGGATTATATGACACAGGAGACAATAAAACATGTTCTCAAATACATTTTCTGGAAACAAAACCTCAGCAAACGAGAATTTTCATACTGTGCATGGGAATAACTAAAACCTTTATTAGATATGATTTTCCATTAACAATAATGTGAAAATTAGAATTATGAATTCAAAAAGCAGTGAAGTCTGAAAATTTAAAAAGTAGACTAGGTATTAGGGGATTAAAGGTAAAGGAAGACGAGAATGTTTCTTTAATACTATTCATTATTTCCCCTCTGTACACAATGTTGCATATATACAACTACTTCATTTTTATTGACTTTATATAATAGTGAAATCCCTTTAAGCAACCTAGGGTATACAGTTGGTGTCCAACTTTCAGGGGGCGGCGGTGGGGGAGTAGAAACACACTTGATTAACAGTTTTCACCCACACATTTTAGACAATTTTTTTCTTTTTTTGCCAAGATTTTAGTAGTAAATTCATAAATATAGGAAATACTTTCACTCCTTCAGTGTTAAAATAGAAAACCAAACAGTGCCAACAGTAATGGCTTAATTATTGGTATACAAGAAAAACACAACACCAATGGGTTTTCTTAATTATGCATTTTAAATATCAATATGTGCATTTGTTTTTACAGTTATAAATTTTTTTATCATCTGTTTTAGACAACAGCTTGTAATAGTTTTGAATCCATTAAGATGTTGCTTTCAATTTGAAATATTCTGTGTATACATGTATATAAAAAATAACCCAATGTATGACTCATCTGACAGATGTTTAAGATCAATAAAGGCTTATTTTTCAACATGCAGTTAGGAAGAGAGGGAAGCAAGCCAACCTCTCTACACTATCTTTTTGCTGGCTTGTTTTTGCAGTGGTATCAATAGTGGTTTTTGGAGGGAACCATGTGCCTTCAGCCTAGCTAGTTAAGATCAGATACCACAATCAACAAGAGGGGTAGAAGAGTTGGGGAAGGGGGAGTGGGTAAGTGTTAAATATCAATTTTTTCAAGTGCGCATTTTGTACTCTTTCTAGGCACAGGATTAAAAACAGGCCAATGAGGAAAAATTTGTTATAATTAGGAAAAAACTGCAATCAAATCAAGACATAATAGCCGAATTAAGTTATTTTAATAGATTGCATATATAGATGTTTAGCCATACTCTTAGATCAACTCTTTAAGAGAAGAACTTTATATCCAATTTACATGCTCTAGATACCACCTTTCTTATTTTTTACAGTAAGGTCTGGTATTCAAATACCCACTTGTACACTGACAGCTTTAAGAAAAACAGGACACAGAGGGAGTTGTCATTTTTAGCAGCAATGAAATACCATTAACCCTTTTTACATACCGAATTCAAGTCACTATCAGAGGTGAGTGCACCACAAAGTCACCAGGTACAAAATTGCTAGTTCATTTTTAAATTAATAACTTGAAATTACCCCTACCCCCCACCCCATTACATCTTTTTATAAACAGCAAACATTTTGCTATTTTATACATAGGCTAGCAGGCTTGTTTCAATATGAAAGTGCTAATTCATTTACAGATTTTTATAATCAGTTATGTAGTGCTACAATAAATGTCCAATAATCTACATAGGAACAATGATGAATGAAAATGATGAAGACTGAATAAGGCTATCAGATGACCTTATCTTATTTACATATAAAGAATAGATACCCAATGGTGAGGAAGAGACAGAAATTGGACAAATACTCATAGGTGTAAAAATTACATCTACCTTTGAGTTTTATACTGTAAATGAGACATTTTAAATAGTCCTGTAGCCCATGCCTATTTTTTCCTCAGAAAAAGAAAAGCTGCCTTCATGACATCCCCTCTTGTTTCAGATTTCCACAGTGTCACTTTGAAGCTTCAGAGTCAGGATCTTACTTTCTTCAAAAAATACACCCCCTAAGGTACCTCCCAACCCCCCCACCCCCAAAATCCTGCTGATTTCTTTTCCAGTGCCAGGTTGCATGATCAGGTCCCATCTCCTGGGGTTGTTGTTTCTTTTGTCCATCTATTGATCATTAGTTTAGAATAGATAACATGAACCAGTTCTGGAACCACTACTAGGAGGAACACAAGCTCTTCACTACAATCACACAGCAGGAAAGAAAGAGATAACTCAATTCATCCCTGGTGCTGGGCCTCCAAAATTGAAAGAACTTGGCACAACTGGAGCACTGAATTTGTATCCTCCATGCTTCTCAATCATTTTGGATTCTAGAAAACAAAATTTTAATAGGGCATTCAATCATCTACTAACTTGGGGAGAAACTGACAAAACATTAAACAAGCCAGTAGCTTAACCATCGTAAGTGGCCAGGAAGTTCCAAAGTTCATGTTTTCTCCAATGTATAGGGGCAAGGGAGCATGCATTATGTAGAGAACAAAATCTCTTTTATTGTATGCTGTAGACTTCTTAGCCAATTTTCATTTCCCATTGTTAAGAAAAAAATCTTTTTTTTTTTTTTTTTTTGAGGCGAAGTCTGGCTCTGTTGCCCAGGCTGGAGTGCAGTGGCACAATCTTGGTTCACTTTAACCTCTACCTCCCAGGTGCAAGCCATCACGCCCAGGTAATTTTTTGTATTTTTAGTAGAGGCAGGGTTTCACCATGTTGGCCAGGTTGATCTAGAACTCCTAACCTCAAGTGAGTGATCCATCCACCTCAGGAGTCAGGAGTTTTCGAGACCAGCCTGGCCAACATAGTAAAACCTCGTCTCTACTAAAAATACAAAAATTAGTTGGGTGTGGTGGTGTGCACCTGTAATCTCAGCTACTCAGAAAGCTGAGGCACGAGAATCACTTGAAATCGGGAGATGGAGGTGGCAGTGAGCTGAGATTGCACCACTGCACTCCAGCCTGGGTGACAGAGTGAACTCTGTCTCAAAAAAAATAAATTAACAAAATAATTTTTTTAGTTTATAAAAAAATAACATCTATAGATAATTGTTGTGCATTAACAGTGGTGTATAACCTAAAATGTACTCTTATTTTTGTTTTTATTTTTTTAGAGACAGAGTCTCGCTCTGTCTCCCAGGCTGGAGTGCAGTGGCACGAAGTTGGCTCACTGCAATCTCTGCCTCCCAGGTTCGAGCGATTCTCCTGCCTCAGCTTCCCAAGTAGCTGGGACTACAGGTGCATGCCACCACGTTCAGCTAATTTTTGTGTTTTTTAGTAGAGATGGGGTTTCACTATATGTTGGCCAGGCTGGTCTCGAACTCCTGACCTCAAGTGATCCGCCAGCCTCAGTCTCCCAAAGTGCTGGGATTATAGGCATGAGCCACTGCGCCTGGCCTAAAATGTACTTTTAAAAATTTCACACCACACAGAAACATCTGAAGATGAAAAGACACGTCTGGGAGCTATTTAACTTCCTAAGTTTTTACGTTTTTGCAGACGGGGTCTCACTCTGGCACCCAGGCTAGAGTACAGTGGCACAATAATGGCTCACTGTAACCTACACCTCCCAGGTTCAAGTGATCCTCCAGCCTCAGCCTCCCAAGTAGCTGGGACTACAGACATGCACCACCATGCCTGGCTAATTTTGTTTATTTTTTGTAGAGATGATGATGACTCACTATGTTGCCCAGGCTGAACTTCAACTTCCAAACTCAAGCGACCCTCCTCCCTTGGCCTCCCAAAGTGCTGGTATTACAGGCATGAGCCACCATGCCTGGCCAAGTATTTACTTTTTTTTTTTTTGAGAGGGAGTCTCGCTCTGCCACCCAGGCTGGAGTGCAGTGGCCGGATCTCAGCTCCGCCTCCCGGGTTTACACCATTCCCTGCCCTCCACCTCCTGAGTAGCTGGACTAACAGACGCCCGCCACCCATGCCTCCGGCTAGTTTTTTGTATTTTTTTATAGAGACGGGGTTTCACCTTGTTAGCCAGGATGGTCTCGATCTCCTGACCTCGTGATCCGCCCGTCTCGGCCTCCCCAAAGTGCTGGGATTACAGGCTTGAGTCACTGCGCCCGGCCAACTTTTTTTTTTTTTTTGAGATGGAGTTTCCCTCTTGTTGCCCAGGCTGGAGTGCAATGGCGTGATCTCGGCTCACCCGCAACCTCCACCTCCCTGGGTTCAAGTGATCCTCCTGCCGCAGCCTCCCAAGTAGCTGGGATTACAGGCCATGTGCCACCATGCCCGGCTAATTTTGTATTTCAGTAAGAGACAGGGTTTCTCCACATTGGCCAGGCTAGTCTTGAACTCTCAACCTCAGGTGATCCACCCACCTCAGCCTCCCAAAGTGCTGGGATTACAGGTTTTCAGCCACTGCGCTCGGCTTAGGTGTTTACATTTTTAACAGATTTTTCTATTATCTAACCATCCACATGACTAAAGTTATTGCTATACTGAAAGTACTTTTTTTTTTTTTTTGAGACTGAGTTTTGCTCTCGTCACCAAGGCTGGAAGTGCAATGGTGGATCTCAGCTCCACTGCAATCTCTGCTCCTGGATTCAAGGACTTGCCCCCTGCCCAGCCTCCCAAGTAGCTGGGATTAACAGCATGCGCCCACACGTCTGGCTGCGTTCTCTAGTTTTGTTTTTGTTTTTTTGGAGATGGGAGTCTCGCTCTGTTGCCTAGAATGGAGTACAGTGGTGGTGCAATCTCAACTCACTGCAACCTCTGCCCTCCTAGGTTCAAGCAATTCTCCTGCCTCAGCCTCCTGAGTAGCTGGAATATAGGCATGTGCCACCATGCCCGCAAATTTCTTGTATTTTAGTAGAGACAGAGTTTTGTCATGTTGCCCAGCCTGGTCTCAAACTCCTGAGCTCAGGCAGTCCACCCACCGTGGCCTCCCAAAGTGCTGGAATTACAGGCATGAGCCACCACGCCTGGCCCAACTATACTTAAAAATAAGCAAACTGGGGCTGGGCGTGGTGGCTCACACCTGTAATCTCAGCACTTTGGGAGGCCAAGGCAGGCGATCACAAGGTCAGGGGATCAGTATCATATAGCTAACACGGCAAAACCCCGTCTCTACTAAAAATACAAAAAATTAGCTGGGTGTAGTGGCGGGTGCCTGTAGTCCCAGCTACTTGGGAGGCTGAGGCAGGAGAATGGCGTGAACCCAGGAGGCGGAGGTTGCAGTGAGCTGAGACTGCGCCACTGCACTCCAGCCTGGGCGACAGAGCAAAGTGCCATCTTAAAAAAAAAAAAAAAAAAAAAAAAGGCAAACTGTAGCCAAAGCCAAAATTAAGTTATCAGTTATCCTATATTAAATCCCTTAGATTAAATTCCTATCACCTGCAACAACTATACCTTTTATATCATCTTAAATGATATAAAATTTAAAACCTGTAAAATTTTAAAGCTATAAAAGTCACTAATTAAAGAGAAGTTACGGTTAATTAACATACCATGGGCTGCTCTTCTTTGATCAGCCAGAGTTGCTATGTCCTGTAACTGTTTTCTTTGTTCTTCATTAAGACCGTGAGTCAGTGCCTGATACCACACAGGATTACGATTTTGAATAGCTATCAAAAAACAAAAACAAGGGAAAAACAACATGAATAAGAGAGGTTTGGTAGCTCTGTTCTATTCTACTCCTCCTACTCCATCCCGAGCCAATACTGAAATTCTCATCTATTTTATATTCTCCCAATAATTTTTAAAATTACTGTATTTGTGAAACAATAGATATAGGAATAAAAATTAATTACAGCTTATCTTTATGCCTCCAAAAACTCTAATCATTCTTACGATCCATCTCTCTAGCAAATAAGGATTCAGAGCCTAACTAGTTCTTATATAGTTAAGTAACAAACTAGGGAGACTTCAGGAATAAAGCTAACCCAACCATCTTAAAAGATTCAGAGCTAAAGCAACTTGAAAATCATCAAGGCTACTCTGGTACATGGGCCCTGTGTTAGGAACCATCCTTTAGCGAATAATATGTGGTGTTTGTCTACCAAGTACAAGACACAGACACAAGTTAGGCACCTCAATCAGTTCTTGTTGCCATGTAGCTCAGAAACCAGCACTTTGTGCTTCTGCAACCTTGCATCAAAACTGCCTTGTCATGGGCTTAGAAGACTCAAATCCTTGGTTATCAGATAATGTATTATATCAAAGAATATATTCATCAGTTCCCAATGCATAGGAAATGATTTATAACAGCAATTAACTCTGAGAGGAAAGGATGTTTCAAATACAGGGGAAATTTAATTTCTTAACGTGGATGGTAAAACATAGATGCTATGCCTTGTTGAAATCCAAGTAAATGATGATAAAAAGCAACTAGAACCTAGTATTCTGAAGCCACATACACTGACACATTACAGGAATAGTGGACTTTTCCTGGAATATTTAACAGTGTATATGGCTCCAGAATCCTAGGCATATACAATTCAAAAACCTCAAGGTTAAGTAAGTTGTTTAAAGCTAAAAATTTGATCATGCCAAAGGTGTTAATTTAGTAATAATAGATTATATTAGTTAACATATCATAGAATATAGGAAAAAAAGAATTATAAGATCAGATGCCATAAATGTTAATATACTCTAACAGGTAAGTATAGGTTTGGGCAGGGAAAAAAGATACACACAAATAATAACATACAACAAACAGGTATACATGTAAGAGTGGTTGCTTCTGAGGAAAGCTGGGAGACTGGGAATCAGAAGTAGCAAAGAGGTACTGTCACTGTATACTTTTTTGAACTACATTATTTTCCTATAATCTTTCAAAATTACAATCTAAATGTAAAATAACAGGATGAATAAAGAATACTCAGAAACTATGGCAACCTTAGAAATAATTTTGGTTACTTTGCCTTACAAGCCTTTTCTAGTCTGGGTTTGACATCCTCCAAACTCTTCCTTTAAAGGGCAGAAACTACAACAGATTTGTTCAGTGAAATGGATCCACATGTAATAAGTTGACTAACTTTGAAAGATAGCTTTAAATATCTGATACTCATCAACAGGGTTATCTTCATCATCAATGATTGTGGAATAGCCTTCCAGAGCAGTCTCTTCAGCATCATCTTCTTCCCAATCTTCATCATCTCCATCCTCACCAGCCTGCTTAGCCAGAATCTCCAAATATTCTTGCCCATCTTCATCAATATCATCTTCATCACTCCCCAGTTCCTCTGCCAAGTCATAATATAAGTACTTTCATAACAATGAGATCTTTTGTTACTCAGCAAATTGACAATCATCTCAATCACTGTCAGTAAATTACAAGTCACAACTGACAAGAGAAAGCTCCAGGAATTGGGGTTTAAATACATGTTCAACAATGAACAGAAATGAAAATTCCCATAGGAGTCCAAGAAAACCAACCTTGATTTAATGTATTCTTGATACTAGACATCTGAAAAAGGACTGCATATTATGAACACACTACCGTTACACCCACCAAACCTTTTATAAGATGTTTTTAAAAGGCTTAGTAAATGATAAAAGACAAAAATGGCAATAGCTTATGTTGAAACCCTTACAATAATTTATCTTAATATTTTATCAGTTTATACACTGATAGTGTACCATCTTATAGATAAAATGTATTTATCAACATTTAATTAACATAGAGTGATAATCTCTCTCTTAAAACATACTCGTAAAATAGGTATGCTTAGGTTTTAGAATTAATATACGATAGGATGGATGTCTCCAATAAATTTAGTCAACATTAAGACCATAAATCCTTAGTAGCTTAAAAATAAAATGAAAACCCCATAAATCTTGTAATAGTAAATATAATGATGTGTGTACCTTTGTTAATACTGTTAATTCAGTGCCATCTGCTAAGCCCTATGTTAAGTGTCAAGGATTCCCTCATGTAATCCCCACAACTTTTTTTAAGAAATGGGGTTTCGGCTGGGCGCGGTGGCTCAAGCCTGTAATCCCAGCACTTTGGAAGGCCGAGATGGGCAGATCACGAGGTCAGGAGATCGAGACCATCCTGGCTAACACGGTGAAACCCCGTCCACCAAAAATACAAAAAACTAGCCGGGCAAGGGTTGGCAGGGCGCTGTAGTCCCAGCTACATCGCCGGAGGGCTCTGAGGCCCAGGAGAATGGCAATAAACCCGGAGGCGAGCTTGCAGTGGCTGAGATCCGGCCTACTGCACTCCAGCCTGGGGCGACAGAGCGAGACTCGTTCTCAAAAAAAAAAAAAAAGAAAAGAAAAGAATGGGTTTACACGGCAGGTGCAGTGCTCACGCCATATAATCCAGGCCACTTTGGGGGCCCAGGAGGTGGAATCATTCTGAGCAGAGTTCGGAGACGCCTGGGCAACATAGTGAGAAACCCGTCTCTACTAAAAATACAAAAATAGAACTGCATGGGCGGCACGGACCTATAATCCCGGTATTTGGGGGGCTGGAGGCGGAGAATCGCTTGTGAACCAGGAGGCGGAAGGTTGCAGGTTGAGGCCAGATCGTGCCATTGCCACCTCCAGCCTTGGGCAACAGGAGCAAAACCTCTTCTCAAAACAAAACAAAACATAAACAAAAGAAAATGGGTTTCACTAATGTGCCAGGCGGATCAATCTCGGGCCCAAGGCAAATCTGATACACTCAGATCCCAAGGTAGGCTGGGGACTCAAGACTCATTGCCACCTTACAAAACTTAAAAAAGGCTCATGTCACTTTATAAAAAAGGGAGCTATAATCTCTCACTCTTAAGTGGACTCAGCACTTTTGTTGAACTCTATTATTATATACAGATTATTTTGGCTTTGTAATACTTTCCCACAGTCGGGTAGAAAACTTTTGAAGAACCACATGACATCTCATTCATCTTTGTATCTACAGTGCTGAGAATGTATAAAATAACAAATCTTTGTTGATGCATACTATAATGATTTGAACTGCTCTACATGTTGGGTGATACAGTCGAAGTTCCTGATTACATACTCTAGTTAGAAGATAGGAAGTCTTTTCTGTGAATGAAAGCATTTGGGTATGATTCCCAACATACATACTTGGGAGAAGGGCTAGTGATGTTTCTTTTTCTTTTCTTCTTTTTTTTTTTTTTTTTAATCTGAGACAGAGTCTCACTCTGTTGTCCAGGCTGGAGTGCAGTGATGCATGCAATCTTGGCTCACTGCAACCTCTGCCTCAATGGGTTCAAGTGATTCTCCTGCCTCAGCCTCCCAAGGGTATGCTGGGACTAACAAGTGCCCACCACTGCACCCAGCTAATTTTTTGTATTTAGTAGAGGCGGGGTTTACCATACTGGCCAGGCTGGTCTCGAACTCCTGACCTTGTAATCCACCTGCCTCGGCCTCCCAAAATGCTGGGGATTTACAGGCATGACCTTACTGCCGCCTGCCAGCC